ATTCTTCTAGGTGGGAAGAACAAATAGGTGCTAGTGAGCAGTCACCCACATCTTTGAGACTCACATAAAATGAATGACTCTCGGAAAGAGTTCAAATGCTTATCTGAGTATCCACAAATGTCTCATCACTTGGGAAAAACGACTTATGTTTCCTTCCAGTGGGGTGGGCTATGTCTCACACCTTGAGGACTGCAGGAAGTTCCTGGGTCCAGGCAGCACGAGGTCCTGGTACCTCAGCTGCTCTTTCCAACCACCCAGCTGAAAACAGCATGAGTCCAGAAGGTGAAGCATTGGTAAATCTGGAGACAGATTCTACTTTCTCAACTTCTCCCTGAAATGAAATAACTAAGAAATAGTTCTTTAATAGTTGCCAGCTCCTAGGTTATAACCCTGCTCAGAGTTAGGGGCAAAAAGCCCTCATCAGTTACTTGGAGAAGGTCCACTCAGTAGTACAGTCACAAAAAAATTCATTATCAAATGGAATTAAATCAAAGTTTAAATAAAACACTTGTATTTTTCCTGATTTAGAGATGAACCCTTAACAGAATTTCAAGTCAGTTCATACTTAGAACCACAGTTACTTTTCATGCCTCTGGCCTGGTCAGATTTTTTTGATGTCAAGAGAGCCTCAGATGGGAGGACTAGCAAGGCAGAGGGAGGCAAGAATAGAAAGGAATCAGAAGGATGGAAGTCAAGGATAGCAGGTCACAGACAACCAAAACAAGAGCAGATTTGCCTTTGTTTACTTTGCCAAAGGGGAAAAATTAACTTGATGGAAAGGGTAATTAAGCAATTCTTTTTCCATCATGGTTCAGCCCGGCTTTATATCCAGCTGTTCTGCTTTACATGGTGATGATTCTTCCTCAAATTTCAAATTTAATGATGGCCAGTGTGGCACCGAAGTCACATGGTACTGCTCCCCCCACTGCTAAGCTTTATTTTATAAATAAAGTGAGAACTGTCCAAGTGAGGTAGGCGATAATGAGGGAAGCCTGAAAATGTTTACAGAGAAGTGTTTCCTACAAAGAGAACTTGAACAGATCCACAGATTAGCATTATAAGGTATTTGAGAGAGATTATCTGGCTCAAAACCCTCAGTTCTTACAAGTAGAAACTGAGATTAGGTAAAGGGAATGGGTTTTGCTAGATTTATAATCCCACTCCCAAGCCACTGCCCACCCCAACATAACTGATTTTTCTTATCTGCTCATATTTTCAAATAATAGCCTACAGATAAATATCTCCTCCAATGTAGGAATGAGCTGGTTTGCACATATTTACTGTTTGATATTTGAAATATGTTAGTGGTGCATGATGCTAGTTTTCCTAGCAGCATCTCAGAGACTGTTAGTACCTGAATTCAATAACTCCGGGAATGACTGGCCACATTTCAATGGGGGTTAATGAGAGCATACTGAAGACAAATGACTGGCCATAGCTCATCAGGCCTCCCAGCATTCAAGGCAATGTATTATTGTCCTGGGACCAAGTTACTTCTCAGGTAAATATAGTTTAGCCTCGTATGTCCAGCTTCATGTGACCAAGCACAGTTCAGATCATGGCCATCTGAATACTCTGGGACCTCATTACAGGATCTATTTTTCCTATACAGATGCATAGTCACTGCAGAGATTTGATGAGACCAGAATTGGTTGTGGAGACTCCAGGTTACTGTGGACAAGGACACTTTGCAGATAAAGGAAAAACTATGGTATTCTCATTGCTTCACATACTATGCCAGTGATTCAAATAAAACAGGGCAGGAAAAATGTTTTGCTTGGTATATTTGAATCAGTTTACAAAAATCAAAGAAAATCCAGGTGATTGTGTTTCTGTGCAACTTGTACATCAAGCTAAGGTACTCATGTATGTATGTTTACATGTTACAGGGGGATAATATTTTATATGTAGGTGTTTTATATAACATTTACTATTTTGTTCAGACTCATTAGCACTTTTACACCAAAATAACTTCCTGCCAGTACTTTGTCATCAGGGGCTACCTCTCTTACTAGGTGGTTCCTGTATACCTCCTGGCTTAAATGTCTTCAAAGACAGTTAATTACCCATGCAATTTTTTACGTTACAGTCAACTCTAACTCTGTTTCTTGTGAGTTCAAGTGTCTTCTTCATTTATTGAACATATCTCCATATTTTTTGTCTATTTCCTCAAGCCAAATCTACCTTAAGAACTCAAGAATTGCCATTCTTGGTAATGGAGTAGGCATCAAGTTCCATAGCTAGCTCCTCAATGATAGTCCTAGAAATTTTTTGTAAGATGACAGTGTCACTGGCATTAGGGTATGAATGTCTAGTCATTTTTAACCTTGTTGGCATCGTGGCCCCCTGTGAGAATAAGATGGGAGCTATCTCCTCCCAGAAAAATGAACATATGAATGAATCCATGCACACATTTTGCATATTATTTGAAAAAAATTTGTGAACCCTTAGAGTGTATTCAGAAATCCCCTAGGGTTAAGAACTTTTGTTGTAAGAGGATATTTTTGAAAGAAATCACATATATTTTGATTTATGGTTTAGATATGTTTATTAAAAATTCAATAGCTTCATCATTTATCATCACAGGTTAAATCTATACATGTATTATATGAGTTTGTGTGGACATGTGTAATTGCATTAAATATAACCTATTTTTTGACTCTGGCTGGCTAGTTCATTTGATAAGAGCATCATCCCAATATGCCAAGGTTTCAGGTTCAATCCCAGGCCAAGGCCCATACAAGAATCAACCAATGAATGCATAAACAAATGTAACAAAAAAGTACCATTTCTTTCTCTCTTTCTCTCTCTCCTCCTCCCTCCCTTTCTCTCTTTCTCTGTCAAATTAATAAATTTTAAAAAGCCTACTTTTTGAAATTTCTGTTTTATGTTTTTCTTGTTTTAATCTATTTTAAATTTTCTTTTAAAACTTTTTCAACTTTCTAAATGAGATTTTTTTAATTTATGAAAGTATTTATTATTTATTCTTGTTAATCTTAAAAGATAACCTAGCTTTAGAATATTAGCTTGACTATTGGATTTAATATTTGCATTTGAAAAACATTATCTAATAGGATATTAACCTTAAAGACTTTGAATGTCAGACTGTACATATAAATTTAATTCCAGTTCTCTGCTATTAAAATAACATCTAGTGAATCTCAGAATTAGGTGATTACCCTACTTTTTTTTTAACATTGCCACATGATAATTTTTAGAATTAACTAAAATGTGAATCCAAAGTGCTGCAAAAATTTACTATGTCCAAGTATATTTTTTCATGATCATTTATAGAGCATTCATGGAAATAATAAGTTTTTTTTAGTGACCATATATATTGGGTATATTTCCTTTCCTTGTCATTATAAATAATTTTGTATGCAATGTAGTGCAGCATTACTAGATACTGAATTTTACCATTTTTATAAACAAGTAAAACTAAAACACTCTTAAAATTAAAATTTGGCCTGATCCAAATAGTAACTTTTTTAATCATTGTTTATTTTCAGTGTTAATGTGGAAAAAGTATTCAAACAATAGATTCAAAATTAAAAAGCCATATTTTAATGGGAGCTGGTTTAAAATAATTTGACATGAGTGCAGTAACAGTTTGGAAAATGTGTCTATGCTTAGTTTTGCTTCCAAATTTGGATTTTGAAACTTATTGTCAGTCTCAGAAAGAAATAAGAAGCTGTGCAGATAATTAAACATTTGCCTTGGGGGAATTATTTGAAGGTAATTAAAACCATACACTTTGGGTGTATACTTGCTTCACTGGTTATTAAATCTGAATCATGTGTTAACTCTGCAGATTTCACATTTGTCCATCAAATGCTGTTCATAGTATGTTTGAGAAACAAATTTGCTCAAATATTCCAAACTAAGCTATCCAAAGGTGTCTCCTACTTTGTGGAGTGAGAAAGAAGAGAGGGAAAGGACAATAAAGAATGATTTATTTTAGATTCCAACTAGATCTGCTCTGTTAGGGAACTCAAATGCAACTGAGCAGTATGAACTCAGTAGAGAGCCCATTTGTAAGTTATAGAGGTGCCGTTCTATCCTCCCCAGTTTTCTTCATGGCACATGTGTGTAAGATTAGCTCATGGGGTTTTTTATCGTTGGATTATCATCATTTCAGCTGCATGAAAAATGTCCACTATACTAAAACCTGTATGAAGGCAGAAATTTGGCATCTTGTTTACAATAGACTCTGCAGAATCAAGAACAGGGTCTGGCATCCAGCAGTCCCTTAATCAATATTTGTAGAATAAATGAAAGACCCATTTTTTATTTTCCTGCTGACCAACTCACATGCTCTTTATGATGGTGTTTTAAGAAGCCTCCAGAGAGGCCTCAAATTTCTAACAGGGGGTCCTTTTCAGCTTTACAAGAGTACACAGTCATAGGAAACCTTTTAGCCACTGTTAAGTGTATCATGTAAACTTATGCTGATCCCATACTTAAATGTGCTAAACAAGAGTGAAGATGAAATTGCACAGAACAGAAGGTTTGCATCTGCCCTTTGCTATTGTTTTACTGGTAGACTTCCTAAGGAAGGTATTACTACTGAATTTCAAATGTCTACATCTGGCTTTTTCAAGGACTCAAGCCTCTCCTATACTAACAACTACAGTAATGGAAACATTAAGAACATGAATATTAGATATTCCTTTAATATTCTCTATTTTTGTCTTCCTTTCATATTCTCTTGCACAATTCTCCTAAAATTTTCACTGATGCATAAAGCCTGCTTATATTTCTTCTTTGTTTCAAAAAAAAAGTCCCAACCAACTTTACTGTCTTTATCTTGCAAACTTTGTGGTAACATCTCATGTAGCTTTTTCAGGAAAGTGTATTTTTGGTGAAAATATTTAAATATTATATTGGTATTTTAAAAATTATAAATTCTATCTCCAAACACAAATCATGTTAGTACTGGAAGCCACTCTATGTCCTGGTTGAAAATGCTGACTAGATGTTTTACTTGTTTCTTGTGTCAGAATCTGCAAAGGATGACAATATTACAAAAGGCAGTGAGGTAACAGATCATGCTGTGTGTGACCAAGATAATCCTAATGGTAAGTAATGAGGTCTTTTTTCAGTGTTTTTCTACTTAAGAATATTACATTTTAAAAAAAACTCAGATTTTAGTTTTTTCTGTAAAAATGCAGTCTGGTTATATTTTATTAGAGCTCAATACCAAGTGAGTAGTAGTGGTTAAATTTAGAAGGGGCATTTGTTCTTCTCTATCCTTACTACTCATTATGTGTGCTCTAGGCTAGCTCTATTGATTTTTGTTACCTGCCTGAATTCTATAGTCATTAGGTTTACAACTACTGAAATGAAGATATAATAACAACAAGAAAATATGAAACATATAGAAAATAGATCCAGGAGAATTAATCTACATATCCTTGTAATACCAGGAAAAGAGACTAGAACAAACAGAAATGAAGCAATCTTTAGAAAAATTACAAAAAAAAGTTTTCCTAATGCAAACTAGTTCCTTCATCCAAAACACAAAATATTTATACACATTATATTTATAGGGAAAGATAATGAAAACACAAAGGAGAACAGAAACCTACAAAGGCTAATGGGATTTCTGGAGATCAATGATAAAGACTTTTCAATCAAATAAAAAAATCAAAATCAGATTACAAGCAAAATTACTAAAATCAGATGACCTGTACCCTGCTTTACCACAACTCTAAATACTAGAAGAAAATGGAGTAACATTTCCAGAGCTCTAAAGAACACAGTTTCTATTTTCAGTGAAGTCATTATTCATGCATGAAGTCAAAAGTAATATTTTCCCAGAAACACAAAAATTAAGAAAATATACCACCCAAATATTCATTCTGAATAAACCAACAGAAGGCCTGTGCAAGAACAATAAATATAGAAAGGAAGAAAAAATGCAAGACTGAGAAAAGCACAGTTTGGTAGGACTATATTATAAGAAACATTAAATGCACAGAAATGTTGAAATAATTGTTTTGAATGAGAATAAAAATATCTTAAATGTTTACTTTTACCTTTGAAAATTATAGTATATGTTTTTGAATGAGAAAGGAGATATATTTTCTATCAGTAATGAAATTTTAAATTAATTAGACTATTATTCCATTGTTTTCATGAAGACAACCAGACAACTTAGACAGAGCAGGAGTTTATTTAAAGACATCAGGGGGGTGGGTTGGGATGGGAGTAAAAGACAGAAAACTATACTTGAACAATAATTAAAATTAAAAAAAGAAGATATCAGAGAGCTAATAAGATTGAGTATTCTCAGGCTAGCTCATAGAAGAAAATGGATATTCAGAGATGTGAGTTCAGAATTTGAAACTGTTTTTACCTTAAGATGTTTGCTGATTATTTAAAAAAATATCTTGAGTCCTATTGCCCAAGTGTCAGGGGCTCTGGTACACCACCTGTTTCTTGGTTTGAAACCCCAAAGATGTGAGGAGGGACCCAGAGAGAATTTATTTATTAAAATTGTGTATTTATTCTTACATTTAAAAAATTTAGTCACCTTTAAAGTACTCTCCATTTGATGCAATACACCTATTGAGATGTTTTTTCTGCTGCTCAAAACAGTTTTTGAACTTGTTGATTTTGCTAGCTTTTAGTACCTCTGCCACTTTTTGTTTCACCTCTTCCACATGCGCAAAACATTTCTCTTGAGGACTTTTTTCACCTAGGGAAACAAAAAAGAAGTCACTTGTGGTGAGATGGGATGAATAGGGAGGGTGTGGCATGGGGGTCATGTTGTTTTTGGTCAAAAACTGCTAAACATTCAGCACAGTGTGTACTTGTAAACAACCCATTGTGAAATGAGCAAATGCACTGAATCTTCCAAAAAATTCACTGAAGCCAAATACAGCCTCTCACAATAGTGCCAGCAGGTACACTGATACAGATGGGTTCCTAGAACATTTACCTAGCCTAACAAGGGATGCCTGTACTACCAGGGGCCCACCCTCCAGAAGATAATTTCTTTTTTTTTAAAGACTGCTGACCAGCTTTAAGTTGTCTCAATCCCCAAATTAAATTAGAACCAACTGAGATTGCTAGTCCCTCTGGAGACCTAAAAAAAAGTAAAATATTTATTAGATTGAAAAGGGGTGTTAAGTTTGAATCATTTGTATAAACAATCTGTTAAATATAATGTTCCCCATGCACACCTGCACAAATAGCCAGAATAAACAAGAAATCAAGGTAACATGAAAACCAAACAAAGAGTCAAGAGTGGTAAGCTAAAAACATTAGTTATAAACACAAGCAATAAAACACAAGAGCTATGTACAATACAAGGAAATAAAGACAAGATTGAAAAATTTAGCTGAGAACCACAAATTCAAAATATAAAAAGGAGGAAAAGAAAAAAATTCTAAAAGTAAAAGATGCCACCACTGAAGTGAAGAATTCGATGAATGAATTTATAGTTTAATAGCATGTTAGACACAGACGAAAGAGAATTTGTGAACTTGAAGTTGTGTCACAAGAATATATCTGAAATGAAAGCAGTAGAGAAACACTGGATGGCAAACACTAAAGAAAATGAAAACACAAGGAGGATAAGATGATAGTCCATCACAGAAGCAATATTTGAACAAAGTGCAGTGAGAGATTTCCTACAGTGTTGAAGGATATCAAGCCATGTGTTTTAAAAGTCCTTTGAACTCTAAGCAAAGTAAATCCACAGCTAGGCCCATCATAGTAAAATTACTAAATATTAAAGATAAAGAGAACATCCAAAAAGCAATCTTTAAATAATTGGACTGACAGCTGACTATCCAGTGCATAGAATGGAAATAAAAAGATGATACAAGAGAATATCTGCCAACAAAAATTCTAAACACAAGGATGTTTGTAGAACAAAGTTTAATTAAGGATGTTGCAGACCAATAGAAGTTTATCACTGTAGAAATCTGGTGTTCTTAAGGTAAGATGATACTGAGCCCAGTTAGAAGGTCAGAGATGAAAAAAAGGAATTAAGAGCAAGATAAATTATTGACTAAGTCTAAATGAGTATTAATGACACAAATAAATAATGATGATTATAATAGCAATAATGTATTATGGAGGTTAAGATATACTTAAACTGTGATTGAAAAATAAAAATTAACCAAAGATATACTTAGAATTAAAATATACTACAGTAACTGCATTTATTAGAATGAGGTAAATTTAAGTGCGCTAACGTTTTTCCATTGTCATGGAGAACAAAAACACCAATTAACATTTAAATTTGATGTCTCTGTGATACCTAAGTCAGGAAACAGGTGAGTTCTGTGATGTCCCAGAAAAATGCTTGGAGAGAATTCCCAGCCCAAAGTGCAGGGAGAAGGAACTCAGGCAGAACAAGCCTCCAAGTACTAGTGAACAAGCTCCAAATAGGGAACTCTTCTTTTTTTTAAGATTTTTTTTTACTTTTAGAGAAAGGAGAAGGGAGGGAGAAAGAGAGAGAGAGAAACATCAATGTGTGAGAAAAACATCAATTGGTTGCCTCCTGCTCACCCCCAAATGGGGACTGGGCCCGCAACCCATGCATGTGCCATGACCAGACTTGAACTGGCAACCTTTTGGTTTCTCTGCCAGCACTCCATCCACTGAGCCACACGAACCATGGCAAAAGAGGTAACTCTTTAGAGATGAATAAAGGGAATCCCTCCAATCTTCAGCTGTGTACTGATCAGTGCATACCTGAGAGGAAATTACCAGTTTATGTGTGAGAGGCTGAATAAGGAACCCTGAAGGATTTGAGGGAATGATACCTGAAGCTTCCACCAGGCTGAGTGAAATGTCTCTTCCCATAAGCCAGACTGGAAAACCTAAAAATTCATAGAGGGCTTAGAAGGATTTTGCCTGCATAGTGGACCAGAACTTGCAATACACTAAATGTTGCCATTGTCCTCCACAATTCAGCTTAAAAACATGATTTGAAAAGATGAAACTATTTGTGAATAACTTAACTGCTCTCAGAATAAAGATCAAAATTATTTATAAAAATACAAATATATTTCAAGCCCATTGGATTAATTGACAAAATTATTGGGCATAAAAAGATGTATTGCAAGATAAATATCCATGCATCTCTTGTGTCTCTGCATATTTTACCAGCAGAAGCCCTAATTGCCTTTGTTTTAACTCACCTTTTTAAGGATGTTTTTAAAGTGAATAGTCTTGGAAGGCAGAGAAACTGTCTTGGGAGACAAAAATAGTGCCCCTCTCCCAAGAGACAGACATCCTTACTGTCCATTATGAAATATTCAGGTTGGCTAAGATTTAGGTTCTCTCATAAAATACAACCCACTGACTGTGAAAGTATCACTGGGTCACCCAAGGGGAATTGAGGCTCAGGGAACAAGTACGTCTGGCTACTGCTGTTGCTCTGAATAATAAGCTGTCCTTTATTCCTGGGCTGCAAGTCTCTCTTCTGTCATCAGCCACTGAACTGTGACTAGCTAACTTACTAATTCACAAATGGGGTAAAATCTCAGGCCTTTCCCAATTTTTAATTCAAGAAGTAAAAATATGGCCAATAGAAGAAATCAATTGATATAAATTAATCTAGTAATGCCACAAATAGAGTAACAATATGAAAGATCATGTTAAAAATTACTATTATGAAAAAAAGAAAAGAATTCAAAATAGTTGGGTAGTTATTTTTCTGTTCTTTGTACCTGGGTATTGCTCATTGCCTATGTGTGAAGGAGAGACAGACAGACATCTATTGGTTCACTCTCAACTAGCAATCAAATCTGTAACCTAGGTATGTGTCCTGACTGGGGTAGAACACACAAACTTTGGTGTACAGGTTGACACTCCAACCAGCTTGAGCAGCCTGGCCAGGGCCCGATAAAACTTTTTTTAAAGAAATGACTATATGTCAGACACAGTGCTTGGACTAGAAATTCAAAGCTAAGTAAGATTCAGTTTTTTGTGCTCCCAATGATCTCAAACTTCAGTTTGGGAGACAGACTTGGAAAAAGATATAAATAAAAATTCCATATACATTTTTTAAAATTACTATTATTGTATTTCACAACTTCTAGAAGCTAAAAGAATTGTT